AAAGGAAAGAAAAATCTGAATTCAGGCAATATATGTTTCATTGGAGTTCCTGAATGGCATTGACAAGAAAGAGCTCAAGTACTGACTGAAAGCTTGGTGGTTTAAGCCCCACCCAAAGGCACTTCAGAAGAAAACCCTAGTGGTTTACTTCTGAAAGGTCATGACCTTGAAAAACTTATGGAGCTGGTTTACTTTACACATATGGAGTTGCATGAGTCAGAATTAACTTATCAGAACTAGTTTGAATGTTTTTGTTGTTGTTTTATTTTTTAAATTTCATTATTGCATAGTTTTAACATGTGAGTTCAGAATAGTCTCATGGCTGCTTTGAATCCTAGATAAAGTAGAAGTGCCCCAGTAAAACTGTAATAATCATAAAACCTCAGTGGATGACAACATGAGTTTTTGTGATTCACATCTATACTGGTTAGACAGGAAGTTCTGCCCATCTTGGTTGGTGGTGGGGTGGATCACTCAACTATCTGAGGGTTGCCCAGGGAAAAATGAAAGAACTTTGAGGTTCTTCATGTCTCTAATACTTCATCCAGCAGGAGAGCACAAACAAAGTCTCATGGAAATGGCAGAGGTGCAAGAGAGAACCAGATCATAAACAAACTCACTGCCATTAAGTCAATTTTGACTTGTTGTTAAGTGCTGGCAAGTCCATTTCAATTCATAGTAACCCTGTATATGGTTTCCTAGAGAAACTGGAGAGTCTGAACCTTCGACCTTGCAGTTAGCAGTCCAGTACTATTCTACAGTGCCACACTAGGACCAATGACCCAATGTTGGATTTCCAAGGTGGTAAATCTTTGTAGGAGCAGACAACCTCATCTTTTTTTCTGTGAAGTGAATAATGGATTTGAACTGCCATCACTTGTCCCACAGTGTCATGAGGGTTCCTGGCAAGAGAGTGAGAGCACAATTAAATGAAGAAGAACTTTTAAATCTTTGTTTGCATAACATCCCAACGGTCAAAATCAAACCTGAGGTGACTCCGCCCTCGCCGCCAGGTTACGCGAACTACCCACGCTATCGGTCCTTCCAGAGTCTCACAGCCCGGCCGCCACACCATTGATACCCTCAGACAAGTGGTCAATTTCGGCCTCGGGCCAGCCAAGCTGCCGCACTCCGTATTGCTGGAGATACAAAAGGATTTACTAAACTACAAAGGCGTTGGAATTAGTGTTCTTGAAATGAGCCACAGGTCATCCAATTTTGCTAAGATTATAAACACCACAGAGAATCTGGTGCAGGAATTGTTAGCCATTCCAGATAACTCCAAGGTGATTTTTGTGCAAGGAGGTGGGTCTGGCCAGTTCATTGCTGTCCCCTTAAATCTGATTGGCCTGAAGACAGGCAGATGTGCGGACAACGTGGTGACAGGAGCTTGGTCAGCTAAGGGTGCAGAAGAAGCCAAGAAGATTGGGACTGTAAATATCGTCCACCCCAAACTCGGAAGCTATACAAAAATTCCAGATCCAAACACCTGGAACCTCAACCCAGATGCCTCTTACGTGTATTACTGCACAAACGAGACCGTGCATGGGGTGGAATTTGATTTTATACCCGATGTCAAAGGTGCAGTGTTGGTTTGTGACATATCTTCAAACTTCCTGTCCAAGCCCGTGGATGTTTCCAAGTTTGGGGTGATTTTTGCTGGTGCTCAGAAGAACGTAGGCTCTCCTAGGGTCACAGTGGTGATCGTGCGTGATGACCTACTGGGGTTTGCTCTCTGGGAATGCCCCTCCGTCCTGGAGTACAAAGTGCAAGCTGGAAACAGCTCATTGTACAACACACCTCAATGCTTCAGCATCTATGTCATGGGTCTGGTTCTGGAGTGGATTAAGAACAGTGGCGGTGCAGCAGCCACGGAGAAGGTCAGCATCGTCAAATCTCAAATGATTTACTATATCATCGGTAACTCTCAAGGGTTCTATGTATATCCAGTGGAGCCCGAGAATAGAAGCAAGATGAATATTCCATTCTGCATTGGCAATGCCAAAGGAGAGGATGCTCTAGGAAAAAGATTTCTTGATAAAGCTCTTGAGCACAATATGCTGTCTTTGAAAGGCCACAGGTCTGTGGGAGGCATCCGCACCTCGCTCTATAACGCTGTCACCTTCGAAGACATTCAGAAGCTGGCAGCCTTCATGAAAAACTTTTTGCAGATGCATCAGCTTTGAACACACCCTGACCACTGTATACTCTGTTGTTGAACAATGTGTGAGATTTAAAATGACCCTTGTCATTTTAATGTTATATATATATATCTATTTATATTATATTATTATATTAATTATGGAATACTCACTTATAAAACTAAATAGATCACATGTTCCTGTGAAAAGCATAGCTTCCTTGTCTGTAAAGGTATTGTTAACTGAGTCTGAAAACAAGAATTGTATTTCTAATAATTGTAGTGCAGTACACTTGCCTAACGCAATAAGTCATTTGATTTTTTGACAGCTGCTTCCATGAATATTGATGGTTGAGCTGAACAAAATGAAAATGAAGTCTTTGACAACTTCAATCTTTTCTCCATTTATCTTGTTATTTATTGATCTAGTGGTGAGGATTCTTATTTTCTTTACATTGAAGTGCAATCCCTACTGAAGTCTGTGGTCTTT